ATAATAATTAAAGTAAATTATATTATGACAGAGTAAAACCTATGCAGCCAGATAGTAAAGCTCATGTTGATTAATTAGATTAGATAAAATTTGAGATAGCAATGTAAAATTCATGCTTAATATTTAGAAGAAGTAAAATCTGCTTTTTTAGATACTTTTAAATAATTTCACTTTTTATTAGGTAAAATTTGCTTTTGCTTTGCTTTAATATATAAAAACTGCTTTTTATTAGATAAACTTCATCTTTTTTTATTTTATTCATAAAATCTGCTTTTCTCTAGATAAAACTTGTACAGAAATTTGAAGCACATAAGTTGATTAATAGTTAGATAATCTTTAAAATCTACTCTTTTCACCTCTCTAAATCTCACTAAATCTCTAAATGCCTTTCTAATTTCTAATTCAAATTAAATATATACTAGACTTCTATAAATATACTTCTTATTGTTTTTTAAATATATACTGTCAGAAGTTCAGTCTCTATAGAGTGTATTTAGAGAGATCTCAATATGAAAATACTAATAGTGCTATATAGAAAGGTAATTTTATAATACTTTGTTAACTTTTAAATAATAACAAGTTTGGCATTTACTATGTAGATGTAGAAGGCTATCTTTTTACAGGTTATTATAGAAAATTTTTGCAGGTTTCATCATGTAAAACCTGGGCAGCACTTTAGCAAATCCAATATTATATAGATAATATACATGAATATAGTGTCTTGTATATAATTCTGATACAATATAACAATTCAATATAAATAAGTAGAAATATAAAAATCAGCAATTATGTGAAAAAATTTAAACTTTGAACTGATTACATTATTGAATAGACTATTTAATAGCAAGGTGATATCAAAAAAATTAGTGAAAGAAAAAAGTTCTATATATTTTGCAACCTGATTTGATAGTGATTAAAAAAAACATGAGATAAATTAGAATCTCTGATTCAAAAATTAAAATCTAATAGTTAGATAACTATTTCAAGTGCTTTCTTATTTATATCATGCATTAAATATATAACTTAGTGAGAATTAATACTGCTACTAAGCAAAGACCTGACATCGCAGAAAAAAATTAGAAGAGTATCTCATATATAATTTTAGTATAATTCTGATATAATGATTCAAAATAAGCAATTAGAAAAAAAAACTTAACTTTGAGTTGATTTGTGAAATTGTTAATAAATTAGATGATATCAAAAAATTATTAAAGAAGAATTTGTATTTGAAAAATTAATGATATTTTATATACAATCCTGATATAACAATCTAGAATAGACAAGTAAAAGCAAGAAGATCAACAGTTGTATAAAAAGATTTCAATTTGACTAATTGTATAATGTATGGATATCATCTATAAACTAGACATTATCAAAAAGATTGATGAAAAATTTGAATCTATATATAGTCAGAACTCTATAAATGCACTACTGTCAGGACCATAGAAAAATATTTTGAAATAGTGCACTTAGAGAGTGTGTACATTTATAGAGTAGAAATTATATATTGCTCTTATGAGTTGGAACCAGACTATACTGTGCATTTAGAGAATTTTTACTTAGTCTGTGCATTTATAGAGTGTGCATTTATAGAGTTCTGACTATATTTTACTAACTAGTTGGATAGTATTTAAAAGGTTAATGGTAATTCTTGTAAATCATTTGGAATTGTTGTAACAGGATCTTTATAATTTTTTAAGAGACAAGTTGTTATTAATTATGCAAGTTTTTATTCATTGAACACATATTAAACTAATTTATTTATATAAATTTATAAATTTGACAATTATATGAAATGCATTAAATGAGAATTAATCTTAAAATATATGTAGATTCTTAAAAAGAAAACTATAATATTTTAAAGAATTTATAATACAAGATGAATTCAGAAGATCATATTTATAATAGTTTGCAAGGTCAGCTATTTATAAAAGCTGCTGATCTTTAAGGCTTTAGAATTATTATAGCAGAAATATCAATTTAACAAGGCCTTCTGATGGTAACTATTTGATGAAAAATGTTTGTAACAGATTGCATTCTGAATTTGCCCTTAAAATTCTCAATTGCTTTATTGAATTGCATTGATTCTAATTCACAAAATGTTTTGTTTAGTATATATATATTTAATAGCTTTTTCTTGTTGCTTATACAGTTTATACTAGATTCACATTATGCTTATATGCATAATACATAACAATTTGATACTATATTATATGTATATTAATTCAAAACATTTATAAATACTATTTGAAAATATGTCTACTAATTTTAAAAGGTTAGTTTTTATATAGAGCAAAGTTTAATAATTGATTTAAAGACTAGCTATTGAAATTCTATATACAAAAGAAATTTAAGTAAAAATAAATTAGCTAATTGAGTTTTTATTACCTTTATCATAATCAAAAAGAATCTTTAATATATTAGCCTAAATAACAATTTGTACCAAAAATATTATATAAAATCTTTATAAATTAAAATATATTTACATGTTCAAAAATTAAAAAAGTTAAACATAAAACTATAATATATTTTTTATGCAACTATTTTGAATTTATAAAATTTCAAATTATCAAATCAAACAAATTGAATCTTAAAAAGCTATGATAAATTTCAAAAAATCTATTTCTTAGTACCAGTTTTTGATGACAATACATTTACACTCTATATATCAAATAAAGAAGCATTTGCAATATAAATAAATAAATAAACATATAGTTTTTGCTATGAAACTTAACAATTTGCTTTCTATAAAATTATTAATAGAATTACTTTAATTTAATATTTGTTAGACTTGGGCAGAAACATGAATAAATATGATTTGAATATTACTGAGTTTTACTCATTATACATATGCAAAGTCTTTTGTCAAAAAAGTAATTTGTGCAAGAGAGTCCCTAAAAAAATCACTATATATACCATAACATACTAAGCAAATGACTCAGGTATATTATTCAGCAGTGAACCTGTATCGCAAAGAAAAAAATTTTCAATTATATACATATTCTGTATTATAATAATTAGTCTGGAAATTTAAAAAACCCATATTTAATTAATAGAGATATTGTGATTTGGGCTAGGGTATTTTGCATAAAGGTACTTAAGAAGAGGTCTTTTGCTTAATGCTCTACTGTAATCATGTGTAGAAGTTTTTTTAGTACTATTTTTGCATTGTTTATTGCTACTTTTGTATAATAATTCACAATAAAAAAAATTTTTATGCAAGATTTGGTATTAGTTGATACCCAATTCAAAAATTTTTCAGGTCTTTAGATATGTATTACTAATTTATATTTATTTAGAATCGCATAAAAAAAAAGAATAAAAATATCACTACACTTCTTTGGTAGAGATAACTATTTATTTTTATCAGACATATAGTAAGCAGTATATAAATTATTTAAAGTTGATTTTTGTATTACTATATTACCTATTTTAGAATAGTTTGGTAATGTTAAATTCACTAGAAGGATATGGTAAAGGTAATATTATTTAAGTTGTAGTCAAGTAATTTTATTATTAATAGTTGAATAGAAAAGCAATATGCTGCTGCACCTTTTTTAAAAAACTTTAAAAAAGATAATTTCTTTTTTTTATCTAGATGTAACCAAGCCAAAGTAAAAACAAAATAAGACATTATTATATAAATTGTTTAGAAATTATAGCATGATTAAAAATCTAATAAATAACTTATCTTTATCTATTAATTGTAATAATAGACCAAGTATAGTTTGGTACCCATTATTGCCAAATCTCCAATACATTCAAGTGCCACTTACTGAAATATTATTAGTACTAGACTTGTATATATTTGATACAATATTATTTGGAGGTGATAGACTTGGTGAAGAGTATGAAATTTTGGCTAAGGACTATAAAAACAGAAGATAAGTAAGATGTTTTTTAAGAAGTATGAATTATATTTGAAGTGGTTTCTTATTATTTCCAATAAAAATACATAAATAAGATGTAAAAAAAATCACACTAGTAGATAAACATGTGAAAAAACTCTATAATCTAATATTTGTATATGTAGAATATATAAGATATTCTGTTTAGGTATATCCAGTATAATAAAGAATATTTTTGTTATTAGTGAATTATAAAATACTAATCATGTTTTTTAAAGAATGGTTATTATGAAGGCAAATGTGATTGGAAAGGGTATATCTCTGTTTACTAAGAAAAGTCACTTAACTTGTATAATATTAAGTATTATAGAAATCATAATCCTGAACACATTCGAAAAAAACTACTTCGCATGTCAAATTCAATAAGGAAAACAATAACAAATATAATTTCAAGTGTAACTTCTTCAATATTAGCATCAGGTAAATATATATATATAAAAAATAATAAAAAAAATCTAGATTTTTATTTATTAATTTTTTTTTAAAACTCATAAATAACTCAAAGATTCTTAGTATAATCCTTGATACACCATCAAATCAAGTTTAAACAACATCTAACAGATTTGCACCTAATCTTGAATCAATCCAAAATGGCCTAAAATATAATAAAAAGTTGCTTTATCCAAGTATATCAGAGTTTAAAAAAGTAATAAATCAGAATTTATTTTATTTTATATTAATTTGATTTTAAATTGATTAATTTTTTTTATAATTAGATGATTGTAATTGTATTTGTAATTGCTAAAGCTGGCCAGTTTATCATAAACTGAGCTTGACATAAACTTAGATTTATAAAAATTAGCTAGTTTTAGCAATCGCAATTACAATAATAATTATTTATTTATAAAAAAATTAATAATAGAGTTACAAGATTTTGCAAACTGCAATAATTTAATTTAATTTATTTTATTTTATTTTATTTTAATTAATTTAATTTAATTATTTATTTATTTATTTTGCTTTGGTTAATAGGTTTGTTCTATAACAGACGATTATAAGGCCAAAAGCACTATTATATCAAAACAATGTAGTGTTAAAAATGCTCAAGATTCTAAAAAACAAGCCATGCTTCTTAGCATTGTATTTACAACTATGCCAATTCTTTTAAATAAACATCCAGTCTTTCTAGCTATAGATTCTACTAGCTATCGAAATAGCTTAAACCTTCTAAATATAGTCTTTATGGTCAGATCTGATGAACCTCATAGTCAAATTGTAGCAATATTTGTAAGTGATAAGAAAATTATACCAGTTGTTGATCTTATATTTGAGTTAGTAAGTATTTTGCATTTTTTGATAATTTTGTTAGATAATACTGTATTATAACTTTGGTTTTTTGAAGTTTATCCAACATAGTATTAAAAATAGTATAAAATTGAACTCTAAGTAGCTAGCTATAGATAAATAAAATCCTTACTTAGCTATAGCCAGAAAACATTTTTCTAATATGCAAGTAGTTTTGTGTGACTAGCACAAAAGTAAGCTTTTAATTAATATTTTGTTACAAATTTTTTTCACATTTTTTTTTTTTTTGTAATATTGCTTTTTTTTAGCAAATGCACTTAAAAAATAGTTCACTAAAAATTTAAATAATCAATAGCTTAGAGATCACGTATTTTATCAATTATGGTTTATTAAATGGTTCCAGTATCAAAGGGAATTTAATCAATGAAAAGTTACTATTATAGATACAAAAAAACTTCAAGTTGCTATCAGAATTACAAATTTAACAGTTGCAAAGACTGTTATATTTTATTTTTAAAAGTATTAGTTTGGTGATTGGGTTGGTTAGTAAAATTTTTTTTTTTGTAACTTTTATATTTCACACTAATACTATAGCAGATATATGGCCAGATTACAAACAAAATGATTGTTCTATAAAGACAAATATGCTGTTAGAAGTTATTTTAAAAAGAATATAGTACTACACTACTGAGAAAAATATACCAGATCTTTATATTTGAATCTTGAAAGGATAGATATATCAATATATGTAAATAGTGGAGATGTTAAAAGATAATCTAATTCTTTTTTTTTTCTTTATTTGTATAATATAAATATTCTTTTCTATAAAGATTTTGGTGAAGAGATAAAAAACTTCCTACAACATTGAGATTACAATAGGAAAGAAAAAAAATAAACATAATGGGAGAATTATTATATAAAAAAAATCTTATTTAAGATAAATATGTATGTGCTAAATATATTAAACTTATACAATATCTTTAGTTTTATAATTTATTATAGGTTCATATATAAAACAAATTATAGTTTAAATTTTTATAAAAACTGTCATTTCCCTGGCAAGCCTTTTACGCAGTATTATACAACTTAATAATTTAGCAATAATATATATAAGCCCTCAAAAGTAAAAACCAGGGAATTTGGCTGATTACAGGTTTTGAGATAATTGGCAAACCTATTTTTGTTACACAAGATCAAAACAATCTAAAAATATCTATTCAATATAAACAAACCTGTTTAAGCAGGATTATTAAATCTACAGATCGCTTCTAGAATAAAATATATACAACTTATGTATAATAAATCTATTTTTAGATTATAGCATCAAAAGTTTTTAATCATTATATCTTAAAAATTTATTAATTGATTAAACTTTTAATATTAAATAGAAAAGATTTGGCTTTAAATTTTATATCCAATCAATCAAACAGGTTAATTTTCAAAAAATTGTCAAATTCTCTAGTTTCTACTTTTGAGAGTCTATATAACTAAAACTAATAAAAATGCTGATCCAATACTCAGTTGGGAAATTAAGCAACAATGGTTAATTGCACTATATTTTTTATATATTTATATTTACAATATTTTTTAAAATTTCAGAAATTGATTAGGATACTTGGAATATATCCCGGTTCAGTACAGATGATACTTAGCACACTTCTATTGAAATAGAAGATATTGATGAAAGAAACTTTAATTCTAATTCTACTAACAAATGCAATATTAATCAACTAACAAAACATTGTATGTTATATATAGAAGTAATAAATTTGCTTGCTCATATAGCTTTAATATAATCTGTGATCACGAGTGTCAGGATATTGTAGCTGTTAAGTTATTTATTGGATTACAAAAGTATATATTTTGTTTACTATATAATTATTGCTATATATGGTATTATATTTTTAACCTTTCCTTTTACAGGAATTCTCTTGATAAATCTGAACTTCAATAGTAAGAAAATCATGCTTTTTATATATATGAATGCATTTATCAATATGTATATACATATATATATAGTATAAAATCTATATACTATATATATATATATAATATTAAGGATTATATATATTATATCAAAGTATAGTTAGACCTCACTAAGTGCACCTTTTCAGTACACTTTGAGTAGGTGTGCATTTGTAGATAGCAAAATATATAGAGCTCATATAAGTTAGAACCAGACTATACTATACATTTAGAGAGAGTT